TTATTTTTGGAGAGCAGCAACACCATAACTTGGATGTGCAAAATGAGAAGATCTCTTGGGAGCGGGAAGGGAGCCTGTTTCTTGACAACGTGATCTGTGGAAAAATAATAAGGCAGCACGGAACTTCCACTCATGCTCTAAGCTGGATGGTCAGTGCATGAGTAGCTTCAGATATGTCTGTGTTTTCCCTATAATGTGCATCAATCTATATTATCTATTTCTGCATCATCTTTCTCTTACAGCAGTCCAGCAGCTGAAATGTGCACTAGAGACCGAAGACTATTGCCATCAAACTCAATCAAGGAGGGTTAGCAAAAAAGAAAGAAGTCTGCTCTTGAAAATTCAGCAGTCTACGGTCTTCTGACATGGGGTAGAAAATGCCTACAGGCTAGTCAGACAGATTTGTTGTTGTTTAGTCGTTTAGTCGTGTCCGACTCTTCGTAACCCCATGGACCAGAGCATGCCAGGCACCTCTGTCCTCCACTACCTCCCGCAGTTTGGTCAAACTCATGCTGGTAACCTCGAAAACACTATCCAACCATCTCGTCCTCTGTCGCCCCCTTCTCCTTGTGCCCTCCATCTTTCCCAGCATCAGTGTCTTCTCCAGGGAGTCTTCTCTTCTCATGAGGTGGCCAAAGTACTGGAGCCTCAGCTTCACGATCTGTCCTTCCAGTGAGCACTCAGGGCTGATTTCCTTAAGAATGGATGCATTTGATCTTCTTGCAGTCCATGGGACTCTCAAGAGTCTCCTCCAGCACCATAATTCAAAAGCATCAATTCTTCGGCGATCAGCCTTCTTTATGGTCCAGATCTCACTTCCATACATCACTACTGGGAAAACCATGGCTTTAACTATACGGACCTTTGTTGGCAAGGTGACGTCTCTACTTCTCAAGATGCTGTCTAGGCCTGTCATTGCCCTTCTCCCAAGAAGCAGGCGTCTTTTAATTTCGTGGCTGCTGTCACCATCTGCAGTGATCATGGAGCCCAAGAAAGTAAAATCTCTCACTGCCTCCATTTCTTCCCCTTCTATTTGCCAGGAGGTGATGGGACCAGTGGCCATGATCTTCGTTTTTTTGATGTTGAGCTTCAGACCATATTTTGCGCTCTCCTCTTTCACCCTCATTAAAAGGTTCTTTAATTCCTCCTCACTTTCTGCTATCAAGGTTGTGTCATCTGCATATCTGAGGTTGTTGATATTTCTTCCGGCAATCTTAATTCCAGTTTGGGATTCACCCAGCCCAGCCTTTCGCATGATGTATTCTGCATATAAATTAAATAAGCAGGGTGACAAAATAAAGCCTTGTCGTACTCCTTTTCCAATTTTGAACCAATCAGTTGTTCCATATCCAGTTCTAACTGTAGCTTCTTGTCCCACATAGAAATTTCTCAGGAAGTCAGACAGATAAAGGGCAGTTATTTCAAGTGGTGGGACTAAAGGGTCAAGTCTGTCTGTGAATTTGGAATATGTTGATATTAAGGCCAGTGCAGTCATGACTGGATTTAGTTTCTGTTGTATGACACTGAACCCTTAAAATTTATCTATAGGAATCACTATGTGGAAGATCTAGAGACAGCAGCAGATTGTGAAGTATTACCACCCACAGCACACAGTAGGTTGAACTGAGTGAATCTGCAGAATCAGGCCTTTGCCAGACATTTTATTAAAGGGCAATGTGAGATTTACATTCAAAGAAAACTTAAAAAAATAACCCTTCCACCATTTTAAATGCCATTCCATTGACATCTTTGGAAGATGGGCTAGACAGAACGATCAGATAGTATTGTGATCATACTGGTTCTTTTGTCAGAGACCAATATTTTCATAAACAGTTCATTATAGATCAATTCCCTTCCAACCATTATGACACAAAAGCCCATTAAATGTGGCAGTGTAACTCTTAACTGACATGAATGTTGCCCATATCTTCTTGAGAAAAGGAAGTTAGGCTTCATGTTTGCATTAAAAATAGGCTTAAGGTAACAAATTCATCTGTCGGGCCCGTGTGAGAACTCAGCACTTTTTACAACATAACATAAATTACAATAAATGGAATATATATGAAACATGTTAAAAATGGTCCACGCGAGGCGGGTTCCCAGGACTGGAAACAGTCTTCAGGCTATGTTCTCAACTGCTGTGTACCCATGAAAGGACCAAGTGCTGAGGAATCATATCAATCACCCAAGCCACAGCCAAGACATGACATTTCCTTTTTGGAAAAGGCCTTAACTGCTTGGCGGTGAACAATAATTCCTCACATGAGTGGTCTCCATTTTGCGAAAAGCAACATTTATTTATTTCATTGATTAATGCTTTCCTTTGAAGCATCTCAAAGCAATTCCACAATAACATAAAAATAAATATGAAACAACTGGGTATACAAAAGCAGTCAAAACAACTGCATATATAAAAACAGTTAAACCCATTACACAAAGTGGTTTTCTGGGAGTACTCAAGGGTATGTAGTACCGGCACTCCCCCCCCCCCCGAATAAAAGTACTGATTACACATATAAAAATCCACTCCAATCCAGGCACTGGCTGGGATAAAATTCTGTACTCCTGAATTGACCCAATACTATTTCTGACTTTTGTTCTTACCTCAGAAATTCTGACTTTTTAAAATAGAAAAATGGAAGATTTGCACAGCTTCTACAGATGTAGAACCCTTCACACTCCCATTTGTAAAGATCTGTGCTTTTGACATGGTCAGTGACCTACTAAGCAGGTGAACTTAGCACAGCTCATTGCACGTTTCCTATAACCTATTTGGTGAGCACCATTTTATAACCTCATTTTTTATTTAATTACTATTTTATTTGGCATAAAATACTAATATTAATAATAATTCAATTCATATGCCACACTTTATCAAAAGATCTTAGAGCAATGCACAATATTAAATAATATTTTCTGATGATAATGGACGAATAATAATAATAATAATAATAATAATAATAATAATAATTTATTATTTATACCCCGCCCATCTGGCTGAGTTTCCCCAGCCACTCTGGGCGGCTTCTAATCAAGTGTTAAAAACAATACAGCATTAAATATTAAAAACTTCCCTAAACAGGGCTGCCTTCAGATGTCTTTTAAAAAGAAGATAGCTGCTTATTTCCTTCACATCTGATGGGAGGGCGTTCCACAGGGCGGGCACCACTACCGAGAAGGCCCTCTGTCTGGTTCCCTGTAACCTCACTTCTCGCAATGAGGGAACCGCCAGAAGGCCCTCGGAGCTGGACCTCAGTGTCCTAGCTGAACAATTGGGGGGGGGAGCTCCTTCAGTTACACTGGGCTGAGGCCGTTTAGGGCTTTAAAGGTCAGCACCAACACTTTGAATTGTGCTCGGAAACGTACTGGGAGCCAATGCAGATCTCTCAGGACCGGTGTTATAACTCCATGATTCCCAGCTTGCTTTCTTTCCTTCTTTTAAAAAAGAGTATGTTCTTGCCATTGGTAGAACCTGAGGAATGAGGCAAAATTCAAAGACACATTTTTGTATGTGAAAAATTGGCCTGCTCCCCCTTTCAGTGTTTTACTTCACCCCCTGAAAAAAACAAACCCCAAACCCCCAAAATTCCTGTGGACATCCATAATAGGTGGTTTCTCTGCAATTTCAGAGAGAGAAAGCAAAGAGGAATCATTTGAACGGCATTCTGGGAATCTGCCCAGAGAGATCCACAACATTCTATTCTAGCACCAGCACCCTAGAACTGTGAATATAATGCAAATTATACAAATCTGTTCCATACATAATAAAATATGCAGCTTAAACTGATAGCTTTATAACATAAATATAGTCACAATTGCCAGTCATACCACTGCATACTCGGTCCACACCACCGCATATGGATGCTTGACCCCTAAGTGAAATGTTATTATATGCAATTATCTAAATCAGCAGAAAATATTAGAACTGCAAAATCATTTGCCTCTTCAGCGTCTGTGTATTCAAATTTTCCATGTCACTGTTAGGTGGGAAGAATTAAATGCTGAGATCAATAGCAACACCTTTTGCATCATGTCATCAGTGGAGAAGCTGGAATACAAAGAGAAACAAATAAAAAAGCAAAAAGCTTTGTTCTCAGCATCCACTTCTTAACTTTGTGAATTCATAAGGTAAATCAGCTGTTCTTCCAAAATGCAATTCTTCAACATTGACTCTTTCAAATATAAATCTGCCTGAAAGTCTTTGGGAGGTCTTTGATAAATGGAAGATGGAATGTTGCCTCAGACCACTTGTTCATAAATATCTCTCTTGACAACTGAAGAAATCATTAATGTCTTCTATCCTACAGTCAATAAATAAAATGAAAGGAAGAGGAATTACTTCTGAAATGGTGCTGTGTTGAATAAAAAAAAAGTTATCTGCAGGATTTATTTATTTTTTTAGGAATCAGGTTATTTAATTATAAAGAGAATTTTTTTAAAAAGTCTGATTTATTTTTTTTATAATGACGAATGCAAGAAAAAATAATTCAGAGGTGGAAAATTACTTTGGTTTATATCAGAGGTCAGGGTCAGTTCTGTAGGGCAACAAGGTTAGACATTTGCCAGAACTCCAATACCAGTAAAGGACCCACCATCTTAAAGAGTGCTACCATTTCTGCTTTGCAGCGTATTCAAGAAACTCAGAATCAGCCTAGGAGAATTCTCCAGCCTGCCTTGGGACCTTAGGCTGAAGGGTAGTTAAAATAATAATAATAATAATAATAATAATAATAATAATAATACACATCCTACAACCTATTGGGCAATAAAAACTAAGGTCAGATCCACATAATGTAGTTAAAGTACATGACCCCCCCCTAAGAATCCTGGGAACTGCAATTCCCTCCATAGAACTATAATTTCCAGCACCCGTAACAAACTACAGTTCCCAGGATCCTTGGTGGGGATGACATCATGTGCTTTGAATAGGCATTGGGTGTGCTTTAAATGCATGATGTGGATCTGCTTTAAATCAGGATGCTGTTCTCCCTCCCCCAGGTGCCAGACTCCCTCTTCATCCCTTACAGCAAAGTATTTATACTGCTAGTCGCCTCTGGCTACTGCCTGACTCTGCTCTCTGCCCACCTACTTTGAACAGCAGCTCCTCCCACCTGGACATAAAAGCTAACTGCATGCTACCGGCAGTTGATCAGAGCACTCTTTCAGTCTTCCCAGCGTGGTGAGCCAGTGATCTCCCCTCTTTGGGACCTTGCAAACTCAAGGTAAGAATGCTCCTATCTCAATTGCTTCAGCTGCATCCAGATGTTGTTGTGTGACATGTGCCAGCGTTGCTGAGAATCCTCCTGGGGGTGGGGATGCTTTGTCGGTATTTTGCAACTGACAAGTAGCAAACTGTTTTAAGAATGAAAGAAAATGGCTTAAATTACTAGGAAATGTATAACATCTGTGGCTGTGTTTTTCCTTTCTGTATTTTATATGTATCTATAAAGCAGCATGCCTGGAAATGTTATTTAACATTTTAAAATTCTGTTGTTGTGTTAAACTATGTTTCTGTCATTAAGTTATCAACAAAAATGTGCGCTTTCAAGAAGTGCAAAGATTTTCCTTAATACCAGGGAAAGGGCCTGTTGTCATATTTGGGAAAGCTCCCTCCTAACTTTTGGAAAGAGCATCTTTTCGCACATTTTATTGCTCTGCAAATAAGGCATGTTTGGATTGCTGCCTTCGTGGAGGAACACCGGTCAGGTGGGTGTTTGACAACGGAGCAAAGTTGTCAAGCCAGGAACCTTGAGAATATGCCTCGAGAGCGAAGCCCCAATTCCTGAAAATATAGGACAAGCTGTGCTGCACCTTCTTAACGGATAAAATGCGTTAGATATCTCTGCCTGTGCAGCAGCATAAAGCAATAGATCTTCCACATGTTTCTTAGGCAGGAGCCAACAGTGAGCCAGTTATGTTTACATATGCTAGCCTCAATAGAACAGAGTGCTGGCACTGAATTAGAGGCATTAAAAGCAGAGGCTTTGGAAAGCATTTCTTAAATGCACCCCTCTAATTGTCTGTCCACAGAAATGCATTTCAATTTCTAGGGGCAATTCTCACACTGCAAGTGAGCCAAGGCATTAGCCACATAAGTCCCCTTTCTAAAGGAATTCCATCATATAAACCCTAATCCAGGAATGCCTGCATAGAAACACAAGTGATCAGGAATTAGTATTGTGTAAGTAGGGGCAGTTAACTGTATCCAGAAAAACAGGGGCTGCATAGCTTTATATATAACATTTTTGTACTCTTTAAGGCAGATCCATTCCATTTCATTCCTTTTCTGAACCCTGCTTTGCTATTGCTGAATATTATTTCACACAGTTTCTCTCTAAATGCAGCCACACAGTTGGTGGGATGCCACAAATCCTGTATTAATTTAGTTTGGGAGGTGTGGTTTGATACAGTAAGCATTGCAATTCTTTTTATAGAGTAAGCAACTGAAATTTTATCTCATAGTAGCAGGAAAAAGTCCAACCGAAAGTTACGTAAGTGTCTGATGTCCTCTGAAATTGCTATTAAAGTACAGAACATTTTGCTAAGCTTTAGAGATGGAGGGGGGTGAATCTGTACTTTTTGAAAAGCAAATTGTGCACACAATTTTTTTGGACAAGAATAGCTCAATACATTCCTAAATTATTTCCTTATTCTTAAACTGTTGTTTGAGCACACTCTTTATTATTATTATTATTTACATAGATATTGATAATCAAGTTTTAGTCTTTAGCAAAAATAATAAAACGAAACAAGCCACATACAACTGAGGGGGGAAAACTTGCAAGGCTATAATTTAAGGAATGCGCTATCTGAAGAATTCAGGTTAAAATAAGATCCTACTGTGAAATTCCATTTATCATGCAAGTTTTTCTTAACCAAATATGTCTGAAAATGTACTTCTAGTAGTATTCCCAGAAGGAAACACTTGACAAAATGTGTTTAACACAGAATAGCTGCATGTGTTGAAAGTGAGACGCTGCTGTAAATCGAGCTGGTTTGTTTGCTTTTGTAGTGTGTAGTGGCAGATTTTTGATTAGCAAAGAGGAATATTCCTGATACAAACTAAACTCTCCTACAGGTGCCTTTCCCGCCTTGAAAAATAGGTCAGGAGTTCAGAGAAGTGTCACTTTTCAGCATTGGACTGACCAGAGGAAATTAAGCAGTGCCTAGCTTCAGAAATGATTATCTATCTTCAAATGTGTTTTTGGGGATGGAGGAGGAAAACTTGTTAGAACCATATATTTTATGGCAGTATTGGCACTGAAATCCATCTATAGAGTGAGGTCAATGCAGGAAAGGCTGTTGAGTTAGATCAAGAAAAGAGCACAGAAGTCCAACACAAATGTACCACATTGTAAAAGGGTGGTATTCTCAGCAGTTTCCTAGCACTCCAGTTGGACACAGGATGTTGGTGTGTACAGGACTGCTGTAGCCACATCCACACCACATATTTAAAGCACTTTCATTCCACTACGTGTCAAGGCTTCTCCCAAAGAATCATGGGAATTGTAGTTTGCCGGGGTCCCCGAACAACTTTCAGCTCTCTTAACACACTACAGTTCCCAGGATTCTTTTTTGGGGGGAAGCCATGACTCTTAAACTGGAATAAGAGTGCTTTGACTGTATGTTATAAATGTGATTGCGATTTCCTGTGATTGCGATTTCCTGGAATATACTTACTCCATTGTTCAACGCCTCACTGTGGAAAGAGGGTTGGGTCCAGACTTATTCATATGTAGAGTCGACCTATGGATATCAATGGGACTTGTTAGTCATGGCTTACATAAGTCCCACCATAGGAGCCATCTCTTAGGGGCCGAGGTCCCTTCGCCCCCCCAATAAAATATTTGAGGGGGCTGGGTCCCCCCAAAGTTGATGGGCATTGCCATTAACACAGGGTGTGTGTGCCATATCATGTGATTGATTGTGCAGTGCAAGGCTTACCTGTCCCCCTTACTTTATTCAAGTTTACACCCCTAAGCCCCACTTATTTCAATGGGTCTAACTTGGAGTATAATTGGTCTAGAACCAGCCTAGAATTTGAATGCCTCTTGCATAAGAGAACATAAGAAGAGCCAGCTGGATGAGATCAATGGCCCATCTTGCCCAGCATCTTCTTCCCACAGTGGCCAAACTGGAGCATAGGAGCGCTCTCCCCTCCTGTGGTTTCCAGCAACTTGTATTCAGAAGCATCACTGCCTCTGATTGTGGAGGCAAAGCATAGCCATCACGGCTAATAGCCACTGAGATAGCCTTATTCTCCATGAATTTCTCCAGTCTTCTTGTAAAGCCATCCAAGTTGGATGAACATTCTCTATGACAGAATAGTATTTTGACCTGTTTTACAGTTTGCTCCATATTTTCTGTTCAGAAGATTTTCCTTCCCTCTCACGCTCTCCAAATGTCCTAGCTGTAGTGTTCTGGCTCTCTCAAGAATTCATTGGAGTTCAAAGAAAAGTCAGCAGTTTATTTCATTGTGATACGTAGTCATTTTTAACATTTGCTTCCCCTATGTTTAAGGCTGTTAGCTATTATATTTGGGGGATGATTGTAATTTCCACATAAATTCCAAAATTACAGCTTTCTGACTTGCTTTGAGCCCTCTCGAATTCTAACTGTTGGGTTTCAAATAAGGCAAAGTGAACTGCTGCTTTCCTGATGGATATTCTCCTGCCAGAATGTTATCCACAGTCCATAGTTCTTTTCAGATGGATATATTAATTCGTTTCTCTCTGTGGTTTTCTCAGTCTTTTGTTGAAGGCCTGTTCTTAAATCTGTCGAATGAAGGCGGGGGGAACCCTGCTTTGTTGGAAAAACACTTTGGTTTAATTTGAGCATTCTTTACAGTAAAGGCTCCCTGCTCCATGATATTCACCCAGTTGTAATACTAAACTATGGTTTAGCACAGCGGTTGCTGACCTTTTTGGACCAATGGGCACATTTTCAATTTGAGAGCGTGTTGAGGGTTCCAGGCACAAAATAGTTCCAGGGGAGAGGGGATAACAAAAAATGGCTGTCATGGGGAACATGGAACCACACAAAGTTAGACAGGCCACCCTGAACAACCTTCCATGGGAATCTTCCACTGGTCCCGATTGTGGAGATCACACAATGTTGATTTTGCACATGCACACTCACTGATGCTGTTGATGTCTAATAGCATCAGGGAGCATTCCTCAGTACCACAAAAAATATACAAGGTATACAAGAGGCAGGGATACTTCCAGTGTCTGGCGATCCTGGGGTGGGTGGTGTGATAGGCTCAAACAGCTGTGGAGAGGGAGGCAGGGCTTGTGGCTCACATTGTGAAGACAGGTAAGGTGAGAGTGCACTTGGACTCTCCCCAGCATCCTCATCCTCAGGCTGTTCCAACTGTGGCAGAGACTTCCCCATCCCACCGGAGCCCTCCCCTGGGTACTCAGGAAACCATCCATCTGCCTTGTTCTGACTTGGCCAGCCCGTGACTGGAATGTGAGGTCTGGAAAGTTCTAGGCAATGCTTAATGCCTACAATGAGAGATACTTAGATTCAAACCTACCTGAAACTCCTAACCCTCTGTCTCAGAAGTCAATTCCTCTAAATCCGCAGTGGTCTACTGTTGTGTGCCGATGGTCTCTCAAAATCCTCCACCCTATATGTGGGTGGCAAAACTGGAGGGACAATTTTGCCAAGTGAGGAGAAACTCTCCAGCAGGTTAGTGGAGCGGGGCTCACCTTTAGCAGTGGTACTAACACAGCTTCTGTTTATTTTTTTATAGGATGTGGGTGCGTGAGATTGCTGTTGCTGCTCACTGGCAACACAGACAATTGTCATGGCAGCATGGCCATCGTTTTGCGTCTTCCAGGGCAGTGGGGTGGGGGAGAATGGTGACCATGAAAAATGAACTAAAATGGTGGAGAATGTTTAGAGATAATTATGCAACGTAGTCTTCATTTTTTAGGGGAGTGGGAAAAAGTGTGGGGCAAGATAATTTCTCAGAAAAATATCTTGGCTTTAGTTCAGATGAGCAATGTCAGGAATTCAATAAATTGTGAGTGGATAGCAGAAATGTGCCTACTGCCCTTGCATTCTCACATGCATGCATGCCAGCCATGCCCTATGACAGTGTTCAACATCTGTGAGACAGTAACCCTACAAACATGTAAAGTTCCTCCACTCCCAGTCTGCTGGAAGAACTTGGGCATGCAAGCTGTATGTGTGGGGCTGCTTGCTCCCCAGTGCA